GACACATGTCCCCTTCGTATGCATTCACATGTAATTGGAATGCAGAGAGGTGTTAGTATTCGGGTGTCCACAGCAGGTGTCCTCCCGAGGGCCCCTGTAAGGATTCAGGAGCGCCCTCCACCACCTAGTGTGTAGCGGTACGGCTCCCCACAGTCCTCTCCTCAGGCACAGACGACTGTCCACATTCTCCACCCATCAGCGAAGTGAGGGATGGTGGCTTCCCTGTCACATGACTATGAGCAGTCCCTGTTGTGTCCATAGATGCTGGCCCTGGCTGGGTCTGCCCCCAGAGCTGGCCAGCCTGTTTGGAATCTGCCACCCCATGGATGTGTGCGAGGCCCCGGCAGCCCCGGGGGTGGCTGACCTGCATTTTATCCAAGCCCCTCTTGGTCAAGAGTAAAGCATAGTGTCTTGGCAACCGTTAGTGACAGAGCACAGCAGCCGCTGCCCTTTTTCCGCTCATACATTTAGTCAGTGCAGATCTGTGCCCACTAGAGCCCCAGGTGGGGCTCAATCCGAGAGCAGGAATGGAGTGCGGAGGGGGAGGGGAAGGGAGGGCTGGTTAGCTCACTGCCCTGAGTCAGCACCATGGCCCCATCAGAGCTGTTTCCAGGCCCAAATTAGTCAAGTCACCAAAATGGAAGTGAATCCTGGACTGTAGGGTTGCCTTTGACATAGGAGCTGGACTGGGAAGTTGCGTTTGCCGCTGGCCGTAAGATGGGCAGGGACTCTGCTTCCTCAGCCCCTGGAGGCAGCCCCAGCTGGGTTGGTGACATCGTGTGGGTCGGTTCAGTCATGGATGTTGATGTCTGCGTATTTAACATGGTAAGTAGAGATCATTTTGGAGCTGTTTTCCAAAGTCTGTGTAGATGCTGCCTTGAGACCCCTTAGCTTCCATCTGTCCCTCTCTTGCTATGGCAGTTGGAAGGTGGCTGGGATGCAGGGTGGTCTGCTGCCTGGCACACGGGTTGAGCCCATGGGAGCCCTCCTCAGAGAAGCCTCCACCAGGCCTGTGTGCAGCTTTCTTGACAGCTTCCAGCAGAGGCCCCACCAAGCCAGGACTGGCTCATCCTAGTGTTGGTGGCTACATGAACAGTAGAAGTGGATCCAGTTTTTGAGGAGACCCTTAAGGGAAGCTACTGAATTCTAATAAGAAGAAAGTTACCATTCTCCCTTACTAGTCTGGGGCTCCCATTTCTCATCCTAGCTTTTCCCATAGAAAGCCTGCTTGAATGTTTGTGAATGATGGGAAAGTTCTCAGACCTTGTTGCTGCCCCACCCCAGGCTATTTCAGCAGCTCTGAGACAAGTGTCACAGCCAATGTTGTTCCTGGTTAGATGTTTACATTTGTAAGAAATAACACTGTGAATGTGAAATTTGGAGCCATTCCCCTTAGAATTCATACTGCTGGCCTCAATGTAGAAGTTTAATTGGCCTCTTTTTTACAACGTGATCTAAAACAGTCAGTCTTTAGCAAGGGGCTTGGAACCCTGCTCTGGCAGTAGGTACCAGCCCAAAGGCCTGCTTGCGTGTTCCAGAGATAAATATATGTTTATAAGTAAAATAACTTTACTCATGCGTGAGTATACATGCATGTGCATATATACATATCTATAATTTTTTATTTACACACATACACACATCTCAAGACAAATATGCAAGGCCGCTATGAAGGCCCATGTCAGTTTTCCTGGAGGTTGACTTTTCTCAGACCTGCCACGTGAAGTCACTGTGTGACTCACATCTAAATGGGACTCACTGAAAGTAGGGCCATTCATTGCTCATTGAAATCCCACTGGAGAAAATAATCTACCTTACCAACTCTCTGTAAAAGGGACTAAGACTTAGTTAAGTTCCAAAACGTCTATGGCAAGTACCAATCATATTATCAATACACATTTTGTTGAAAATGTCATTAATTTGGTTGTCAAGATTTTTGCAGGGGTAGGGGGTTGTTTTTGTTTTCCTGCTGGGAATATCAGGAAAGCTTTTGATGAAACCAGGGTAGAATTGTTCGGCAATGCATTTAAGCCACGTGCCTCCGTTCCCATGCTGGCCCGTCTGGGTGTACGTAGGTGACGTTTCCAGCTGCCAAGTGCCCTTTATGCTGTTCTCTCTCATTTTTGCCAGCACATGTATCCTTTCAGGAGGAAAGCATGAAGCTGAAACACCTTGCAGATACCCAGAACATAGCATCAGAGAAGGCCCTGTACCCTAAAGGACACCCTCAGCACCTCCATTGACGGGGTTATCTCAGAGCCTCAGAGTGAGCAGCTCCTGCTGGAGGAGTAGGGCCCAGCCCTGCTGTCCAGCTCAGGAGCACAGATCCTAAACACAGCAATAACCATTTCGGGGGCTGGAGTGAGCTTGGTACTATGTGTTAGAGGAGTGGAGTTAGTCTTGTGCCACCTGTGAGCACCCTCCCTAGTGAACGTCCTCACTCTGGCTTTGTCCTTCCCTCCCTCTGCGGTGGGTGCCCAGGACCGCGGCTGCTGACCAAGGTGGACTCGGAGTTGTTCTCTCATGGGGCAGCATGTGGGAGTGGGGAAAAAGAAGACCTCAAGAGCTGCCAGGGCTCAGTGGAGCTCGGGATGGCTGGGGCGAGAAGGAGCCACTCCCCTACTGGGCCTGGTACTGCTGGGATGAGAGACGTGCTCAGAGAGCCTTGTGGCAGCTGAAGGCCACCAAGAAGGCGCCGGGGCCACTCTTTCCCTGCTTGCTTGTCACGTGCTAATGCTGTTGAAGGAACCCTTTCCCCTCACTTGTTTCTGGGAGCAAAGTCTCCTGCTACAGACGGGTGGTGACCACTGGCCTCAGAGGATTGCAGCCAACATGGACCTGTCCACGGTGATTGGCTCTGACCCAAGTGGAGCCGCCTGCCTAGGTCTGCTGCTTCATGCTGCAGGCCGAGCAGCCGGGGAGCCAGCGGGGCTGTGGTGGGCAAGCCTGGAGCCCTGCCTAGGTCTGCTTCTTCGTGCTGCAGGCCGAGCAGCCGGGGAGCCAGCGGGGCTGTGATGGGCAAGCCCGGACCATCTGCTTCCGACAGGAAAGGGAAGGACTGACACGAGATGTATATTTAAATTTTAACTGCTGCAAACATTGTACATACAAATTAAAGGAAAAAATTAAACCATGAATTGCTGCTTTACAAGGCTTGCTTTGCTTATTGAGAACCTAGACATGTTTGAGGAGAGTGCTTCCCGCATGGGCATCACAAACCACAGTACCCATGGTCGTCCTGCCCTCAGATGTGGCTGCCAAAGCTTTCGTGGTCCAGCGACCTGTGCTAGTTACACGGAAGCCTCAGAGTTTGAGCCCTTACAAATGCTTCCACATTTGGCCCAGGGCAGGAGGGGTGGTAAAGCCAACACATTGACTAGAGCTGTGTCCCCACATGAGGCACGAGCTGGTTTTTGAGCCCTCATAGCCCTGCCAGCCGCTTCCACTTCCTTGGCCGTTGGCACCCTGCACTCCTGGCCCAGCTGTAGCCCGCTGCCCCTGAGGCAGCGGATGTTTCCCTCCTCAGCTCTGGCCTGGGCCTCTGTGTCTGCAGGGCCCAGCTCTGCCCATGTTGGCTTGTAAGTTCTTCCCGTCTATAATGCCATCTCCTCTAGGAAGTCTCTGCTCAGCTCAATGGGGGCACTTTAAGCTCTGGCTGTGCCTCTCCTGGGGAGCCTCGGTGGTGGTGGTAGTAATGTTGGGATACAGGTTTTTACCCACCAACCTGCAAAAACAAAAACCACAGACTGGATTTCTCTGGTGCAGGGTATTTAGTATTTGCTGTGGTCCCATCTGATTCCAGCTAATTGGCGGGAGTCGCCCTCCCACCCCTTAGCAGAGCAGGCTCTGCGTGCGGTTGGTGCCAGGATAGGGGCTAGGCGGCACGACTGCGTGTGGGGCCTTCTGGGATTCAGTGGCAGCTTGTGCCACTGGCTCACCTAAGGCATGGAGTCCCCTTTCTCTGGACAGGGATAGTGAATGCTTGGTCAGAGGGACCTGGTGGACAGGCCCAGCTGGGTCACCATTGTTCCCTCGGTTGCTGTAAGCATTTGATGTAAGCACATCACTGCCGCTGAATCTGTCATCTCATTGGTGACTCAACTCAGGAGCCTCCTGATGGTCTCACCCTTCAAAGCCACCTAAGTTCTGGTTACTTCAGGGAAATGGAGCACCCCCTTTGTCCCTGGTAGGTGTGGACAGCCAGACCTGTGGCATAGCTGATATTTCCAGAGAGAAAAAGGGCCCAGATCCAGTAGGAAAAGCAGCCCCTCCTCATGAGTGCCTCGTATGTGGCACATCCCCGCAGTCCCCCTCCAGCACCACGGCAGACCTCTCAGCAGAGGGCACGAGCCCACCTGGCGTCCTCCCCCTCACCAGAGAGCACGCCCTGCGTACCTGCACAGGGAGCAGTGGGGCGGCTCAGTCGCCCCAGCTGCTCTCCCCTGCCCTCACTGGGGGTTTGTTCTCTGCCTTCATTGGCATTTGTTTTTAGCTGTAACCAGCTTAGTTCCAAAAAGGATTTTGCAGTAGCTTCCCAAATGTGCGTGGTGCTTTTTAACACTATAATCAGATGAGGGAGGTAGCCAGGGTGAGGTGAGTCCCAGCTGGCCACAGGTCGGGCTGCAGGTTGTCTGGGAGCCACCCCAAAGGGACTGGATGCAGGGGCTCTCTCCGCACGCTGGGACTCATGTTCCTGGGTGTGTGTGTGTGCACTCCCCCGGGCAGCTGGGCAGCGGGGCCCAGCTGAGGCATTCTCTGAGGGCTCACAAGTCTTTCATCTGTGGCCCATGAGCACAGACATGGACCCAGCTTTGTGGAGTGACCAAGATATCATCTGGGAAACCAGGAGCACCTTATGTGGTTTCCACAGGCTCCAAGCAGCCTGGTCCCATGTGGGGGGATGGCTTGTCTACTCCCGGATGGCCCCCCTCTGTTGCAGTTGTGTCCTTTGGGGGCCCTGGGGTTCCTGGGCCTGCGCATGGGAGCAGGGTGTTCTCCATCTCATACAGAGGTCAGTGGAGCCATCGAGTCAGGGTTGGGGCCTGCCCACTGAGACAGAGGGCCCTTGGCACAAGCAGTGGGTGGCAGTGCCCACCCATAGGGCCCACAGGCCCACTGCCTGCCACACTGGGCTAGGCAGCCCCCAGGATTCTGCTGGGGCAGGCCGGTCATGATCAGGGTCCTCTCACCTCCCCAGACAGACCACGTGTCCCCTGAACTCCAACCCTGCTGGGGCTGGTTTCAGCACTGACCACATTCCTCTCCTCAACCCCCGTTGCTCTCAGAAGTCCAAGTGCCTTGGGGTGCTCAGGGCACCTCTGACCAAGGCCCTGTGGCCTCCTGGCCGGGGCTGCACCTATCCCACCCCGTGCTTCCCTGCCTTGGTCCACACCCCAAGGTCTTCAACTGCTGGGATCTACCTGTCATCACAGGCCCTGCGCGAGGCTGCCCGGTCCCCTCGGTGGAATGTCTGCCAACACTCTGGGCTTCCATGGAGGGCGCACTCCCACCCCGCCACGGTAGTCCTGGTTTCCTGACAGCTGAGTGGAATCAGCGTCTGCTCAGGCCCCGCATCCATTGTGTAGCGGGAACATGAGGCCTAGAGAGTGTAGGCCTCACCTGGGCACAGCAAAGCCCGGCTGGGCTCCTGCCCACGCCCCTGTCTCCTCCAGGGACCCTTGCTGAGGCCTGACCTTCTCCCCGCAGGTGCTGCTGGGTGCCCAGCCCTGGGCCCTCCGCCTCCTGATCCCACGGCGACCGAGGGTCCAGCAGGCCATGCAGCTGTGCCAAGGTACAGTGCCCCTCCCCGCAGAGGACAGACCCAGGGCCCTCCTGGTGGGGCAGCTGGGTCATTGGCCCTGCCCTTTGCCTGCCAGCCTCATTCCTTCTTGTCCTTGGAGGCCCAGAGCGAGGGCCCCAGAGCCCACCTAGTCCAGGGGTTTCCAAGACATGCTGAGCCTGAGAAGCCTGGGCCCAAGCATTTAGCCCATTGCTCGGAAACACCTGCAGGACAGGTTCTACCACCCAGTGGCCCTGGGACTCGGGTGGTGGGGGTAGTTATGCCTTGTCGAGGACCATCTGGTTGCGGGGCCTGAGCACAGCAGTGACACCCACTGACAGCAGCTGCCCCTTCAGCCCCTGTGGCAGGTCAGGCCTGTGCTCTCCAGAAGCTCCCGGGCGGATTCATGGAAAGGGGCTGGGAATGGCAGGTAGGGTCCTATGGCCTCCCCATGGCCTTGGAGGGGCTGTCCAGCCGGGTCCTGTTAGCCCCGTTGTAACGATGAGGAAACTGAGGCTTGGGGGATGGATGTGACTGAGGTTGCATGCTGAGTCGCTAGAGCTGCGATTCAGAGCCCTCTGCCTGGACCTGGAGACACACCCTGCCTGCTCTTCCAGCAGAGCCCTCGCTGTGCCTCAATGCCAAGCGCCCCACCTCTGTCCTTGGAGCCATGGCTGGGGAAAGGGCATGAGGAGGGGACCCCAAGCTCACGAGGGCCAAAGCCTGTGCCTGAGAAGTGGGGAGCTTCCTGGAGAAGGTGGGCCCTCTGATCATTCATTAATTCTGCAAATGCTTCAAGAGCTCTCTGTGCCAGGCCCCCAGGCTCCACACTGGAAAGTAGAGGCTGCAGCCAGTGAGTGGGGAGGATCTGGAGCCGGCCCCGTGCCTCAGTGCGAGACAGTAGGGATGGTGTTGCCTGAGTCCCAGAGAGGAGAGGCCTCAGCCAGTCCCAAAGGGCAGGGCCAGGCCATGACCAGGGAACTCGGCGAAGGGGTATGGAAGCCCCTCTGGGTTCCCGGAACAACCTGGGGGCTGCCCTCCTGGTGCATTCCCCAGCCTGACCACAAGGACCAGGGAGCCCCAGGCTGGCCCTTCTGTGCTGGGCACCCGCAGTGGGCCATGCACCCAGCCAAGCCCTGCCCTATCCTCCGACAACCTCAGCCCGTTGAGCCTTTGTTCCCCTCCTGCAGGGTCACATGTGATACTTTTCTCAGAGGATGCCAGCGGCATGGGCAGAGGCTCAGAGACACCTCTCCCTCCGGGCCCAGCTCCTCCTGTCCTGGGCAGCTCAGGCCTGAGGCTGCTGTGGTTGGTGAGGCCCGAGGAGGGCAGGTGGCCTCCTGCAGTCCCTCTGCTGACCACAGCCTGGACACTGGGGGGCCAGGCAGGACTCCTGACAGGGTACTGGGCCCACAGACGCCAGATCCAGGCTGGGTGCCGTGTCTAGCATGGCCCCTCCAGCACAGCTGCCATGGGATCTTCAAATCTTATTTGATCTTAAGCTTTTAAATTTGGGATGCCAATGCCTTTAGGTGGCACTTCTGCAAGGCTGCTAGGCTCTCGCCAGGCTGAGGTCCCCTGACATTCCGTCCCTGAGCACTGCAGAGGCAGAGGCGCACTCCCCATCCTGGCCGTCAAGCCCCCCTTCTGCCCTGCTACCCCGCTCACGTGGTACCATGTCTGGAGCCCGTCAGCTCCCTGTGTGCCCTGGCCTATGCCCTGCTGTGCAGCCTTGAGGGCTGGTTCTTCCCTGGAAGTGCCCTCCAGCCCTCTCTGGGTTTACCCGGCAAACTCTTCCTTCTCTCTGGCACAGAGCTTCCCTCCGCTGTCTGGTGCTGTCCCCACCTGGCTAGTGCTAGAGGTCTATGTCCACGTCTCCATCCTACACTGCCAGGCAGGCCGCCCCGAGGCCCCCAGGGCGCCCCGAGACCCTAGGGGCCCCTCAGTGAAGTCTGGCAGGCGCCTTCTGAGCCAGTGGCCACCTTGCCCAGGGCCAGCAGTGGGGCCTCGTCTCCCCATCTCCCCCTCCCCTTCCCCGTCCCCTCCCCATGCACGTTTACCCCTTTCTCCTTGTTCTGTCCACCCCACCTCCCCTCTCGGCCTGAGTGGCTGGGCCAGGCTGAGGTGGGGGCGGCCGCCTGGATCCCACCTGTCCGGCCACCGGGTTCGGGCTGGCCTGCTTGCTGCAATATTGATGGCCCGTCAGCGCAGCCCTGATTCCTGGGCTTTCAGTTAAAAGGTTTCTGTTGTTGTAGCTTATGCAGTTGCTCTGTTGCTATGGAAACGTGACATCAAAATGACGTTTCCCGTTTAAAAGCTTTTAACTAAATTCCTGCCTGTCAGATGTAGGCCCCATTTTGAGCGCGGAGCTGCCTTCGAGCAAGCCAGCGAGCCGGTGGCGCCTCCTGCCCATGGTCCGCGGGGCCCGCCTGGGCCTCGCCTGAGCGCGATCTTTAACCCCCAGGCGCCTCCAGCATGGCAGCTGCCGAAGTGCCTGGCTACCTGGTGTCCCCTCAGACAGAGAAGCACCGGCGGGCCCGCAACTGGACCGACGCCGAGATGCGCGGCCTCATGCTTGTCTGGGAGGAGTTCTTTGACGAGCTCAAGCAGACCAAGCGCAACGCCAAGGTGTACGAGAAGATGGCCAGCAAACTCTTCGAGATGACTGGCGAGCGCAGGCTGGGCGAGGAGATCAAGATCAAGATCACCAACATGACCTTCCAGTACAGGTGGGCGGGGCCTGGCGTGGCCGGGCAGGCTGGGAGGGCATGCGGTCCGGAGCAGGCGGCCCACCTGTTCTCCCCTGCCCTTGTGTGGACAGAGCCTGGAGGGCTGAGACCACGTGCAGCCCGCCCTCGGTGGGCGGGGAGACCCAGGCCCAGGAGGGCAGGAGGCTGCGCACAGAGCAGAGGGGTGGCAGGCCGGGCTGATCTTGACGCCCTGGGCCAGGGTTGCTGCAGAGCCTGGGCCAGGAGGCTGCAAGGCTGGGCACTGCCCACGCAGGCGGCACCCCTCCCCCAGACAGCAGACTGCAGCTGCCACTGCCCTCCCCGCCACTAAGCCCCCACACTCAGCAGGACTGTCGGGGTCCTGCTGTATAGGTGGGGAAACTGAGGCCAGAGGCCAGAAGGAGGGTTGGCTCCCAGGCCAGATTGGTCCTGTCTGATCCTGACGCTGTGTGACTTTCAGCAGCAACTGAGCCCCTGCTGAGAGCCCAGCTCAGGCTGGCATCTGGGTCAGGGAAAGGGGTGTTTAGGGCTGAGATCGGCATGCCAGCCTGGGCAACAGAGCAAAATCTGTCTAAAACAAATGCCCACGGGGCCAGGACAGCATCCAGCTCATGGGTGGGGACTTGCTTGTGGGAGAAAGAGGTGGAGTCCGGCACTGGCCCCAGCGACTCCTAATCTAGTGGTCTCCAGGCCCGGCCACCACCTCTGTCTTCGCAGCATCCCAGGTTGGCCCTCCCTGCCTGGCAGCCCGAGGGGAAGGCTGGAAACACCCGCAGGTCTGGGGCAGCTCTGGCGTCCAGGAGGGAGCAGGTGAACCCCAGCCTGTCTGGCACAGGCAGTCTGGGGTCATGGTAGGGAAAAGGTCTCAGGTTTGGGGAGGGGCTTGCAGGGACTGAGGGCAGCGGCATGAGCTGGAAGCTCAGGTGGGGAGCCTGAGGCAGGGAGGCTGGTACAGATAGGCCTGCAGGTTTGCCTGGGGGTACCTGAGTCACACTTTGTGGGGAGAGGACCCCACTCCCATGACAGGGGAGAAGATGGCCTCCAGCAAAGCAGCAGGGAGCCCCAGCCCCCGCGTCTCTGGTCACCCAGGCACGAGCAGGCCCTGGCGGCCCCACTTTGAGTTGCATTGATTTAACTTTCTATGACATTGAGCGGGTCCGGGCTTGGCCTGCCCAGAGGCCCATTTCTGCACTTTGACTCCTGGCCCTGTGTCCTAAAGCTGGAACCAAAGCAGCTGCTCGGGGTCTGCTGGCATCAGAGTCGCTTAGCAAAATGATGGTAGATTTGAGCCACCGGCTCTTGATCTCAGGGTGCGATGTGAGTCTGGGTGTCTGCAGAGGCACAGGTGGGGACAGACGTCTGTCCAGAGCTCCTGCAGCCACCATGGCCTCTGCAGCCCCCGCTCAAGTGCCTGGAGCACCAAGGAAGGGGCTCAGAGGATGGTGGAGGCAGCGATGGCCATCCTAGCATCCCCCAGTCAGGAAGCCATAGGCAGCCTCCCCGGCCGGCTCTGAGTGGCCTCTGCCGAGGTTATTCATTATTTATCCTGAAAGCCTTCTCCAGAGTCTCAGGGGAGGGATTCTGTCTCCGTTCCTGAGGCCCAGGAGTCGAGGGTGCAGCAGGGGTGGGGTGGGGGTGGGGGTGGTAGGGGCCTCCACTCAAGGCACTGCAGTCTGGCATGCGCTGCATACCGCGACTCCTCACAGCTGCCACTGTCAACCTTTGTTCACCAAGGGGGAAACTGAGGCCCAGAGTGGGAAAGGATCTTGCCCAAGGTCACATAGTCCTTAACAGGCCAAAGGTTTGACTGAGTGACTAGTTCTTTGTCTACACCCACCCAGCCTCCCCATAGCAACAGAGACTTTCTTATTTTTTTAATAAGAGCTCTTTATATATTAAGGCTGGCATGCTAAGAATGTCTGAGAGGGTGGCTGGGTTCCCTGAAGTATGGTTGGCTGGAGTACGATTTGAGGGCCTCCCGTGCTGGGAACAGGCTTTTCCTCATTTCCCCCAGGAGTGGACTGGCTCGACTGGGGCCTCCAGAGGGGCCAGGGGGATCCTGGGGAGGAGGCTGGTGTGGACACCTGGCACCAGGCCTCACCGTGTGTGCCAGTGTCTGTACAGCTCTGGCCCTCCAGGGTGGGTCGATGGTACGTCCCACGTAAGGAACGCAGAGCAGCCTGTGCCCTCCCTGTGTGACCTGTCCCCAGCTTTCTGCTGGGAACATTCCACCCAGGTGGGCCCCTGGGCACTTGGTGCTGCTCCCTAAAGCCAGCCACCTTCTGTGGCTGCCACTTGCCCCTTCTCACCCTCTGGCTGTGCCTGTTTGTGGGGCGACTCATCCAGAGGGCCAGCGCATTGTTCCCAGTTCCCAGTGACCAATGGCCACACCCTGGCAGGTAACTCCGTGTAGGAGGCAGAAGACCCCCGCTCTGAGGGGGCTGGTCCTGGGACTTCAGCTTCCCGGTACTCTGCAGCTCTGAGGCCTCCCGACGGCAGACGAGCCCTGGCAGGAGTGTAGGGGGAGCGCTGGGCCTCAGGAGGCAGGGACCTCCCCTACCGTGTGGCTCCTTCTCTAGCCTGGCCAGAGTTGTCCAGCCGCCCTAGGGCCCCGTCTTCCCAGCCCCTGCCTCCCAGAGGGTGGGAAGGCCCAGGGTAGGCCAGGGACTTGCCCCCCACCCCCCTCTCAGTGGGGCAGGACCTGTCTGTGGGAGGAGGCCTGGGAGGGGCAGAGCCGCACAGTGCAGACCCTGGGCACGGGGCGCTGGGTGGTGAGATGTCAGGCCCATCCAGCCCAGCCCACTGCCTGAGGCAGAGCGCCAGTTCCAGAGCTGAACCCGGCTCCTGCACTGGCTAGTGGGAGTGACAGCAGCAGTGCCAGGTTAGAGTCCTGTTAGGGTCAGCCAAGAATGACATCAGGGCCCAGCCTGCTGTTTTATTGAATCCTCGGGACAGCTGTGAGAGGGGCTCACTTTGATCATCCCCATTTTACTCCCAGGAAAATAGAGGCTCAGAGAGGATAAGGAACCTGCCCAAGGTCACACAGCAAGGTGGTGGAGATGTGATGCACTCAGGCTGTGGACACTGAAGCCACACTCCCTGGCTCTCTCTCCCTGAGGCGTTCTCTCTAGGAAACAGTTACTACATTGCAATATTTCATAACTATATTTGTGTATCTTATTACAATACCTTATTATTGCTGGTTAACATATTTAAAAAGCAATATTTGCTCATTGCAGAGAGTTTAGAAATTACAGAAGAGTGAGGAAAAAGCGATAGGAGTCAGCCCCAAGGCCCCAGCATTTACAGAAAATCATTAATACTGGGGCACATGCTTCCCTTTTGAAAGCGAAGGCCGTGCAGGTCCTGAAGCCTGACCTCCTTCTAAGTCCGCTGTTGTCCTGAGCCTGGAGCCTGGCCAGCTTTCCTGGGGAGGCCCGTGTGGCCGAGAGTGGCTCCTGCCTGTGCTGGCATGGCTCTGCCCCGGGTCCCGGAGCCTGCGTGCCCCCGTGCTGTGGCTAAGCGGGACGGGCCGGGGCCAGCTCTGCTTCTCACCCTTGGCTCTTGTGTCTCTCGTTTCAGGAAATTAAAATGCATGACAGATAGCGAGTCTGTCCCGCCTGACTGGCCCTATTACCTAGCCATTGATAGGATTCTGGCCAAGGTCCCCGAGTCCTGTGATGGCAAACTGCCGGACGGCCAGCAGCCGGGGCCCTCCACGTCCCAGACCGAGGCGTCCCTGTCGCCGCCTGCTAAGTCCACCCCTCTGTACTTCCCGTATAACCAGTGCTCCTATGAAGGCCGCTTCGAGGACGATCACTCCGACAGCTCCTCCAGCTTACTGTCCCTTAAGTTCAGGTAGTGTGTGTTCACTCTTCCTCCTCCTGACGCCGCGGTGCCTCAGCCCGTCCCCACCCCCGAACGGGGGCCAGGAGAAAGGGGCCGGGAGTGGCGAGGAGCAGCGGCTGTGGCGGCTGCGGAGGCCGAGGTGGTGCGCAGGCGCCTGCAGGGACAGGCGGCCGGCCCGGCCAGGGCTTGAGTGTCCACAGACAGACGGGGCTTGTCTCCCAGCTCCATCACTTGTTAGCTGTGTGGAAGGTTCCTTGACCCCTCTGGCCTCAGTCTCCTTACTGTAAAACGCGGCTAGACCAGAGCCTTTCTCGGAGGATGGGTGGGAGCATCACAGGAGAGAGGGCCCCGCACAGAGGAGGAGTCCGCGGGCCTGGACGAGGCTGCCCTCCCTGGCAGCCTCCCGCCCAGGCATATGCTGCCTGGGACCCCACACCTCCCCGCCCCTGCACACTCAGCACTGGGGAGGGTGTCGGGCTGAGCCGCCAGAGGTCCTCGTCACCTTTCACAGTGGGTGTGCTCTGCTGTCCCTCCCACGCTTCATGCCAGGCCTGCGCCTGGCTGTGCCCGCAGGCTGTTCACAGAGCAGCTGGGAGCCGGGCAGCACGCAGGAGGGATGCCCTGGGTGTGGGGGCCTAGCTGTGGGGGCAGGGAGTTTAAAGAAGGCGCTTTTGAAGAGGGTACCTTTGGGTGGGCTTTCAAAGTAAAATAGGAGTTGGCTAATTGAAGAACAAAATAGGAAGAATGTGGATGTGAGTCACGGCCTCTCCCCCGCCCCGGTGTCCAAGTCTGGCTGATGGGAGGTGGAGTGAGGCGGCACCTCTGAGGACGTCCCTCCAACCCGACATCCGCCACCCCAGGGCTGCTGCTTGAGTCACCCAGTGCCCCTTTCTTGGAAAGGATTTCTCATTAAAGACCCCAGACAAAACGCCTTTGCTGGTGGCCAGACTGAATTAGCAGGGAGGCCTGAGATTTTGGCCAGTTGTCCCATGGACTGAGCCTAGTTCACAGACTTAGCTACCTGGGGCATTGTGCAAGCTGGGACTCGGGGCCTGCACCCCCTGCTTGAGCCCAAAGCTCCACTCTCCTCCTGCTGGGGTTGGCTGGTCACTCGCTGTTTCCGAGCACAGAGTGTGGGCCAGAGGGTAGGCGTGCACCAGGACAGGGCCTTGGGGTCTGTGGGATTTGGCAGCTCCCTGCTCTTCAGTGCGGCCGGTTAGACAGAGACGGCCACCATGCCAACAGCAGAGTGCCTGGGGGACAGCGCAGGGCTGGGCTGCCTGGGCCTCCTGCTTCTATCAGAGGCTCGAGGTCCTGTGGGGGAAGCCCAGGCTTCTTACAAGCCCTGCTCCCCAGTGCCTGTCCTCCTGCCTGCCTGCCTGCCTGCCTGCCTGCCCCAAGGTGTGCCATCTAGCTCCAGGCTGCTGGGAGGTGAGGGCCCCAGTGCTCAGGCCCTCTCTTCTGGGACCTCAGTTTCTCCAACTGCCCTAGGCTGGCTGGGACTGGTGGCCTCTGGCTTCAGGGGCCTGGAGCGCCACACGCTACCCAGCACCGTGTCCCACCCCAGCCTTCACCTCTCCCTGGGGGTGGCCTCTCCAGGGGGCCAACAGGGGCTGGGCCCCTCGCCTCCCTTGTGGCAGGGTGTGCCCTGCGCAGTCCAGCATACCCACCCTTTCCGGAGCACAGGGGTGGAGATCGTCTTTGACCCTGGGTCCCAAAGGATGCAGTGTCCGTGACCCCGTTACTCTCTCACTACCTCGGTGGGCGGGCTCTAGGCCCTCCTCCACACATGGACGGTGAGGACCTGAGCAGGTGACCTGACTCCCAGGGCCTCAGTGCTTCCATGTGTCCAATGAGGAGGCTGGGAGGGTAGGCAGGGCCCCAGTGCGCAGGCTCTGGCCCGCACGTCCCCAGCGGCGCTGTCCTTCCAGGTCAGAGGAGCGGCCGGTGAAGAAGCGCAAGGTGCAGAGCGGCCACCTGCAGAAGAAGAAGCTGCGGCTGCTGGAGGCCATGCTGGAGGAGCAGCGCAGGCTGAGCCGCGCCGTGGAGGAGACCTGCCGCGAGGCGCGCCGCGTGCTGGACCAGCAGCACGTGCTGCAGGTGCAGAGCCTGCAGCTGCAGGAGCGCATGATGAACCTGCTGGAGAAGATCATCGCCAAGTCCAGCGTCTAGGCCTGCTGGGCCGGCGGCCAGGGCTGGGTGGCCGGGGCGCTGCTCACGCCGACCGGGCCAGCGGGGCCCAGTGGCCTGCCCCCCGGGCAGGGCCCTGGAGAGAGGGTCCACCTGGCCTCTGGTGGGCTCTCCTGGTCAGATGTCCCTTCTGAGGGGCTTGTGAGGACCCCGGGCCCTGGGGGACAGGCAGACTTCCGTCTCCAGAGTTAACGTCCTTCCTTGGACACAAGCCAGAGACTCCCGGGTGGCTCCTGGTAAGAACGTCCTAGAACCTGCCCTCCAGCATTGTCACGATCAATGATACTTGAAATGGCTTTTGATATTAAACGTGTACTTTTTGCATTATTGCCTGGAAGCGGAGTTTGCTTTCGCTGCTTGGGGGTGGACCGACGATCCACCCTGAAAATGAGAGCAAGCAGCAGGAGGGGTCGGTGCCGCAGTGAGCTCCCTCCTGAGGGGACCCCCGTGTCCTCCCTCACCGGGGGCCTCTGCGTCTGCCCTAAAATAACCTCTGACACCCCACACAGACCCCAGCGGCCTTCCAGGGCCCTTTCACTCCTCTCTCTGAAACGTCACGTAGCTCCCCTCCCTCCTGATAGGGACACTAATAAGAGTGATAACGCCTGCTCGAGCACATGCCCTGTCTGATTTCCTAGGCTCTGGAGAGGCCGTGGTGGAGGAGACAGGGGAGACAGACCGGTCAGCAGAGAGGGAATTTCAGGTTGTGACGTGCACTGGAAGGAGGGGCCGGCTGAGAAGGCAGAGGAGCTGGCCACATGCGGAGCTGGGCACGGCCAGGGCAAACGCCAGAGGCAGGAGGATGCCAGAGCAAGCCTTACGAGCAGCAAAGAGTCCGTGTCACCAGCAGCCAGGCCACGAGGGCTGTGCGGGCCACAGGAAGGAGATTTGGTGTTTTCCAAGCTTGTCGGGAGTGTTTTGGCCACTGCAGCTCCGGATCTGACCTCCACAGGGCAGAGGCGCTGGGAGGGGCTGCAAGCTCACTGCACCGCTGTCCTTTCTCCACTGGGAAAATTCTTTCCAGCAGCCCCTCAGCTGAATTTCCCCACAGGCACACTGGTTGCCCTGGTTGCAGAGAAGGCTGGAACCAGGTGTGTTTGATTCATCCCCTGGAACTAGGCAAGTTGCTGCCCAAACAGAAAAGTTTTGCGGTAGGTGGTCAGCAAGTGAGTGACGCAGTTTGACTCATGGTTTAGAAAGTCTCCCTCTGGCTGCTGGGGGAGGTGTGGAGGCCGGGCCCGGCCACATGCACCACAGACACACAGACATCTAGTGCGAGGTGAGCACCAGCTCACCTGACTCCCCAGGGGACCTTGAGGTCAGCCAGGCAAGGGAGTAGCCAGGGCCTCTGCCAGGTGCTGGACCAGCCTCTGCCCCCAGGTGGCACAGAGGACAGCCCTGGGCCTGCCCGTGGGGAGGGAGAGGTGGGCAATCAGTACTCGCTTTGCTCTCAGGGACCAGAGAGCTCCCACCCCTCCTCAGCCCCCTCAGAGATCCCCCTAGAGTCCACGAGCTGTGGACTCAAACCCTTTTGCTTTAGGATGAAAGGCAGAGTGTCTGGTGGCTGTTTGACATGCAGTGCTCCAGTGGCAGGATGGAGCACTGGCCAATGCTTGTGGTGTAAATTCTCCTACTGAAGCCACTTTCCAGCTGCCAACTTGGGAAGAGATGCTCATAGTCAACTCTTGCAAGCCAGTGTGAGCCGCTACAGCACCTGCTGAGAAGACAGGGGGTGTGGAGACGTCTCATGTTGTAGAGCCAAGTTTTGGGAGCTTGTTCTAGCTAATTTCTAGCCCAGGTACCCATCTGCCTCTCAGACAAGCCGCCACACGGGAGTCATTCTTCTAATTAATGTATTGGGCTCCTGCTAGGTGCCTATGCCCCCCTAGATGCTGGGAACCCAGCCGTGGACACAAGGGACTAGCCCACATGCACCTGCCCCCAGCTGCTGACCGCTGAGGCTGGCTAACGCCTCCCATGGAGCCGGCCGTGAGGGTCTGAGCCTCCCGACAGGGAGGTCTGCCCCAAGCCTCTGGGAGGAAACAGTGCCTGAGCCCCAACCACACCTGCAGCCCTGGCAGGATGGTTAAGCCCAGAAGCTCCCGTAAGAGGTAGCACAGTTGCAATTCTAAATGTCATAGCTGATTTCTGCACCTTGAAGCCTCTGTGTTCCTAGAGTCACGGTCACGTGCGTTAGTGTTTTGGGGACTGCTGGGTGTCAATTGCAACACCCTATGTGTCCTTCTCACAGTTGCGTTGAGGAGGGGTTTGGTCTCTTTCTGTTTTCTTGTTCTCTTTGATGAGAGTCTGGTTGCTGCTCCGCCACGCCAGGCGCTGCCCTCGTCTTCCGCAGCGGGCGCAGAACCGCTGGAGGGTGGGCAGAGCTCAGCTGGCGTTGGCATCTTTCATGCACGGTGTGTTAACAACTCTCTGTCTTCCTTAGTTGTTGGTCCATTAAGGAAAAAATAATGACTATATCAGTAAATGCTAAAATATTTGATGAGACTCAGCAAAACAACATGTTAACACTGAAAGCTAAAATCAGGAGCCAGGCAAACGTGCCTGCCTTTCAGCCGTTATTTAACCACTTTGGTACGGTGCTCACCGGCCGCGCCACCTTGCCCACAGCCGGCACTCACAGTCCGCACAATAGTTTGTGCTGTGCATTGACGACAAATCTGTTTTGCTCTTGTGTGATGAGGAAAGCTTTAAAGCACTGAAAGCTTATTTTACTTTACAGGCAGCTTTACTTGTAATGTAAATCAGAATAGGTCACATACACATATATGTTTTCATTACGTTATTTTTAAATGTTCACAATTTTATTTTGATAAATGAAAAATTAGAAAAGTCATATCACGGCTGTTGGCTAAAGTCACTGTGCGCGTTCATCTGTGGCTGTCGACTATAGTCGACGCTGGTACCGAAGTGTTAATGTCATTTTGACGTTCATAGCTAATGTGTTAAAATAAGTCAACAAAATGAGCAGGATAAGAGATGAGATGCAGAAGTGAGAATTACCTTTGATTTCAGATAATAGTTTTATATACAAAGAAACCCAGATATACAAAAGATCAAGAGCCTTTAAACCAGCTTAAACCTGCAAAAAATAAGAATGAAGAAATGTTACATTCAGGTTGTGATTAAAAACAATGGAATATCAAGGAATGAATTTAACCAAAAGGCACAGGACCTATGCGAAGAAAACTTGCAGTCTCATTGAAAAATCTAAAACAATACCTGCGTGTGCAGAGAAACTTAGCATGCTAACAAGAGCTGCAAAATAAAATGAGATGTCATCACTTTATCAGCGCAATTCCGTCTACACTCTCAATAATGTTGTGGTTTTGGTTTCGAAATGGATGAGATTATGTTTAAATTCACATGAAAAAAGAATAGGGCCATAGGTCCAAGGCCAACCGATGTGAGACGGCACATTGGGCCTTCGAGGAGTGGGGACCTTGGGTGCGCAGCCCGTGCCCGCAGGAGGGCGGCCCACGGTCTGACAGCGTGGACGCCGGAGAGAACGTCTTTGAACTCCTAATTCCCCAGGTTCTGCAATGGCATCACTGTTATTGGCGGGGAGAAAATGATCACCAACAAAATATTTATTGAAACTAACTTATAGCATGGAAAAGATATAATAACATATATTTTATAATAACCTACGTAGCCTTTGGGGGAAAGGTTTTGTTTTTGTTTTTATTTATATGCCATAAGTAAAAGTACACTATTTCCAAAAAAGAAAAAGAAATGGGAACTTTTGTGTCCTGGCAGGAGTGTAAATTGCTACAGCCACTGGAGGAGCCATTTGGCATTGTCTCCACTTCTAGATATGTCACCCTGTGGCGGCGGTCCTCATTCCGAGGTCTGAGGACCCCTTAATGCTCTTAAAAACTATCAAAGATGCCAAAAAACTTTTGCTCATATGGGTTCCAATGACCAATATTAATACTTATTAGAATTCCTTATTAGACATTAAACCTGAGATATTTGAAAAATATCTATTCGTTGCAAAACAATAAACCCATTGCATGTTAACATAAACGACAACTGTGTGAAAAATACATTTTCCAAAACAAAAAGGTTTTGGCTAGAAGAGTGGCATGGTTTTACATTTTTGCACATCTCTGGCTTGGGGGAAGCCGGCTGGCCTGGCCCGCAGTTTCCGTGCCAGTCTGCTGCGGGCCGTGTCTTGGCTGTACCACGTGGAGGTGCGTGTGGAAAATCTAGCTTCACACAGATATGTATCTGGAAAAGAAAGCAACATTTTCATAACCTTTGCAAATAACTGTGACATTATTCCTTGATCCAACACTTGACAAGTGGTTGGTAGTTTCTCAAGGTTAGTTGTGATCTGGAATCCGAAACCGCGTCCATGAACTTTTCCTTCCATGTTTCAGGAGAATCCATCAGTCCATCTTGTACGTTGCTCCCTCCCCATCCATGGTTTGTGATACACACGCGGGGCCCCCACCTCGCCGCTCTGAACCTTGCCCTAAAGTCTGCGCCTAGCTGACGCGACACGGCGCCCTCCTCCGGGTCGGGCAGAATCGCATTCTGGTGTGCGGAAGCACCACCGTTTCTCGGGGCTCCTCCTGACACATAGACTGTTCCAGGTTTTCTCTACAGTAAACAGTGGTGCAGTGGCCATCCCGGTGTGCGAGCAGGCAAAACAGTCCTTAACTCCGGGGGAAACACAAAATCGTGCAGAAAAGGGAAAGTTATAGCGGGCTACCATGGCTCTCATGTGAGGGCAGGATTGAGATTTATTTTTTCCATACAGATACCCTGATGTCACAGCACCATTTGTAGAGAGGCTACCCCTTCACGACCGAGTGGCTTGGGGATCTTCCCTGAAAACCCATTGCCCGTAGCTGTGTGGGTCTCCACCTGGGTCTGCGTTCTGTCCCTTGATGGTCGTGTCTCTCCTGGTGCCACGGCACCGTCTTCAGTACCATCCGCCTTGAAATCTGATATAACGAACCTTTCAACTCTGTTATTCTTTTCGTAAATTGAGTATTCTAAATCCTTAGCATTTCCTCATCATTTTTCTGCTGTAGTAAAATACAACATAAAATTTACCATTTTTAAGAGCACAATTCAGTGGCTTTAAGTACATTCACAATGTTGTGCAACCGTCCACCTCCAGAACTTTCTCATCTTCCCAAACTGAAACTCTGTCCCCATGAAACACTAAGCCCGCTCCTCCTGCCCAGCCTCTGGCACCTGCCATTCTCCTCTGTCCGTATGAATCTGACTGCTCTAGGGACCTCAGAGGAGTGCAGTCACACAGGGTCTGTCCTGTTGTCACTGGCTTATTT